ATTGAATGTACAATATCTGCTGCGGTATTTGTTGAGGAGACGGAAAGCATTGGCATTGGCAAAATCTTCAAACTGGATTAAACAGTTCATTCCATACCTGTAGATAAAAGGACAATTACAAATGGATAGCAATTTCTTCACAATATAGGATGACATATGTACTTGCTATTCTTGCACGTACAGAAACACAAATATATACAAAATACCAGCAGAGGCAAACAATCAAGGAAATGGTATATTAAGAATGTCTAAATCTATCACACTAATGGAATCATCAGGTTAATCAGAGACCTTGTTGCCATTTTAGGGGAAAGTATCCTTACTTTGTACTTTTACAGCTCCTCCCATCTGAGTATCACAAAGTGTTTTAGAAACATCATCAGACAAGCTCAGAACAACACTCCAGAGAGCTGGGAGGTAAATGTTGTTCATATGATCAAGAGGATGAACGCAAGACACAGGAAAACAGTGTACTTGCCCAAGGTCACACAGTGAGTCAGTGGCAGAGACAGGATCTGGACCCAGACTTCCTGAGTATGTTTTAAGCACTAGGTCATCCTTCCAATTTGAGCTGATTCCTGTTTGTCAGGAATTATGGCTAAAGCAGAGGAACCAGATAATCTTTCTTCTATTATCAGGTCTGCCAGTGACTTGTCATGTTATTTAGGGCAAATCATTTCATACCTGGGTTCCTCAGTTTCCTCCTGGGAATAACAATGCTCACCTAACAAGGGCATTCTGAATCTCTTTTCAGCATTTGTTTGTAAATATGTGCCTCTTCCTGAGATAGAAAGCACTATGGAAAGGTTTAGCATTCCTTGTGCCAAATATGCAAAATATTATTATATATTCTAGTTCATACCTGAGCTTCCCAGCATCTAATCATGCATTGTCAGTCCTTAAATTGGACATCAAAGACTTTATTACAAATGTAGGAAAAATTCTTTTAAAATTACATATCTTTATATCTAATATGTGAGGCAGTCTTCACAATGAGAGTCTTCACAACGAGAGTCAATATACTCAGTAATGCTGATCCTTCACATAATGAGATTAAATAGTGCACTCCTCTCAGGAGCTGTAATAGGTTTTTGAGCATATATATATATAAAAAATGAAGTGCATATATGTATGTTTGCTTATAACTTGAGAATGGCTAGTCCTATGTACTCTAAACCTTCCAAAATCAATACCACCCAAAGAAAATTATACGCGGGTTATTTTTCACTTGACCCTTTTTGGGGCTTCCATTGACTGAGATTACTTCACTTCTCAGATAACAAACAGGTACCTCTCCATTTTGGACGCAGTGAACGCAGTTCAACTGTCATCATTATATTGCCACTTGCCTTTTTTAAAATTCAGTTGGCATTATTATATTGATGCTTGCCTTTTTTTTGCTCCACGTTAAATATTACATGTTAAATATGTTGTACTATGTTCTTTAAAAACAAACAATATTTTTGACTAAATATGTTGTACTAAGTTCTTTGAGAATAAACAAACACTGCAATTACAAAAATAACAACCCGGGCAAAGAACGGCTGCTTCAGCTATCATACATATACATGTGTGCGTGTGTATAATTATATACAAAGAGAGTACATATACACACACATATATAAATACACATACAAATACACACATACGTATACTCTGGCATAACTTTAAATAATAATATGACATAGTATCGGAACAGTCTTTGCAGGCAAGCCTTAAGACAGAAAGGAAACATGCTTTTGCTCTGGGTTCAGTATATTCCTTTAGAAAGACAATGGTCTTCCTCTGAGAAACCATCAAGGGCCCACTTGAATCCCAAGCAGCTGAACAGCAAATGAAGAGCTATTTGCATGATTACATGCATCCGTCTCTGTTTCTGCCTGCCAATATGTGATTTTTCCAACTTCTTCTAGACCTTTTTTTAAACAAACATTTGTTCACTTCCA